GATACCGGAGTTTTAAATAATTACGAAGCCACATGTATTTGCGCAATGCTAATTAGGCAAATTACCTTGAAAAACATTGCTGCCGCATTTCTAATATAGTTTTTTGCAAATTTCTCAGTTTTTAATAACAATTAATTAATTTTACTATTATTTCTGTACTCCAATAACAGCGCCAGACAACACCTCCAGAGGAATGACGCCAATTTTGAATCAGCCTGTATATTTCATTATAATTAATGGCAACAATCTGCCAAAAATTAGGTGACATGCTCTGGATTGGAGCCCAAAATGTGACAATTTTGATGATGTGCTTACTATACAGGGTGATTTACGGTCGATGGCGTATTAGACGTTTAAGGAGAACGCGATCTGCGATCTATCTGCAAATTTGCGCAACGACATCAGCGGATATGCTCTATTATATATTTTCAACAATGCGAGGTTGCCGCTTACACCGAAGAGCACATACAACTTTGCAATTTTAAATGCGATACCCTGTATATTATTGCACGCTTCGATTGCCTATATAGATCTTATTATTTTTACATAACGATTCCTATATCAATCTAAAGCGATTTCCAAATTATTAAATAAAATTCATTATTTTTTAATTAAAACGTAGCCTCCCGGATATTGTATTACAACGCGATTTAAAGCCCTGGAAATTTAAAATTTTGGTACTCCGTTAGGAAAACCCTATGCTTGAGCCCGGCGTACAGCTATTTGTTCCAAATTATACAGTGTCTCGTATTGACCTTTCGACTAGTGATAAAAACTGCTTCAATTACATTTTTTCAAATAGAACACCCTGTATATTAGTTCAAATACCGGAAGACCGTTAAATTTCCTGTGTCCATGCCCTGTCTCTATGCCTAAAGCGTCAAATTTCCGAAATAAATGTACATTTTTGCAACAATTCGATTATGTCGACGTATTTGTCGAAATAATGCCATGAAATCTCATAATAGTTGCAGATTTTGCAATTCTTGATACCAGTTTTCAAGTCAACAGTCATCAAAGTAATAGAGACAGCTATTTTGCACTTTTAATGCAGTTCAGATTTAATTATTCACAAAATGGAGAAAAACAATTATTCAAACGAAGTGTTAATGAAACTATTTATTCTTCATGGACAATGTGGCCAAATTCTTGCAAGGACATGCAGAAAATTCAACGAAATGTTTTCTAATTTAAAGCAAATGAATGCAAGGAAGTTTGTGCGAATACAACACAATTTCCTCAATTATGGCACCAAATTGGAAGCTGAACCGAACTTACCAAAACCTGTAACTTCTGATGAAGACAACATTGTAAATGTTTTGGCGTACTTCGGTGCATATCCTGAAGCTTCTGTTCGAAGTGCGATATGATGATTTCGAAGTCCGTTGATGTGTATAATGCCATTCAAAGGATCCTGATCAAGCATGCAATGCATCCGTCCAAGTGCACGGATTTGTCCAAGCCCTGAAGCCAGAAGACTAACACCGGAGAATGAGATTTTGTGAAACAGTTCTGGTGCATACACAACAAGACCCTAACTTTTTTAAAAACCGTAATTTGGACAGATGCAGCCAAATTTTCCAGGGACGCCATTATCAGTAGACGAAATACACATTTCTGGGCGGATCATAATCCACAAGTGGTTCATCAAATGCGATTTCAAGAAAGATTCAGCATCAATATTTTTTGCCTCATAAAGGATAATCAAATAAAGTTTCACCTTTATGAAGAAACGTTAAATTCATCCAAGTACCTCGAAATTCTAAGGACAGTGGTAAGCGATTTTTTAGAAAATCTGAAACTAGAAGAATATCGCACATGTTGGTTCCTTGCTGTAACATGTTGTAACCTTGCATTACGTACACATACAAATGTGCAGATAGATCGTGCATCGCGTTCTTAAACGTCCAATACGCCAGCGACCGTGGATCACCCTGTATACCCTATATTTCAGCAGTTGTTTAATCGACACTAATTTAGTAAAATTGATACGATTTTTTTTACCTTTCCAGGAGGAACAATAATTATACCAATTGTAAATATTTAATTTTATGTTATTAGATGAGGAAATAATTATGGTATTTTCAGGACGGCTATATTATTACTCTGTATGGGTTCTAATAAATTTTACCGTCCATCAATTAATCGTTGACGTTGTACTAAAGATGTGTAAGACGTAGCCAATACAGCAATCATTATCAAAAGCCACCCAAG